TGGTAAGTAGTGCTGGTTTATTTTCTGACCTGTTGGTGTTGGTGGGCGGTGTTCTGTTTGCATTGCCGGAGGGTTTCCCCCTCCTTTTTGGTTAATGTTGGGGTTTTCTATTTGTTGTTGTGTTGTCAGGGGGATTTTCTCTCCCCTTTGTGTAGTGTTTGGGGGTTTCCCCCCCCTCTGGTTTTTTTATTCTTGTGTGTTTGGGGTGGCATGTATTGTTTATTTGTGTTGTCTGCGTTGTTGGTGTTCCTTTCGGCTGCTCTTGACCTCAGCTGGTCGATGTGCCTCTTCCAGCTTCTCCCGTCCTCCGTTACCAGCCGATATGACCGGGGGCCCCTACCTGGGTTATTGTGGCTGGTATCCAGAGTGGGTCCCTGGCAAAGTTTTTTGGGTATACCGAGTCCCCTGGTGTGAAGTTGCGGTGTTTGCTGGACGAGTCTGGTGGTTTTTCGGAATTATATGTCGGGTGCAGTCTGTCTAGGTGTGATCATAGCTTTCTGCCCATTAGGAGTTCTGCTGGGCTTTTGTTGGTTGTGGAGCTGGGTGTAATGTGTTGTATTGTCAGTAGTTTATTTATTTTGTCGTGTATGTTCCCTGTGTCCATTTTTTCTAGTGCGTCTTTGGTGTACCTGACCATGCGTTCCGCCCGCCCATTCGCCGCCAGGTGAGCGGGCGCTGTTAATGCGTGCCTTATGCCCTGTTCTGCTAAAAAAATTTCAAATGACAACGCCGTAAATTGTAGCCCGTTGTCCGAGACTAGTAGGTTCGGTAGTCCGTGGGTTGCGAATAGTTTAGTTAATTTTTTTATAACGGCTTCTGTAGTTGTCGTTTTCATGATGCTGACCTCCAGCCAATTGGAGTAAGCGTCGACAGTTATTAGGAACGTATGTCCTTTTGTGGGTCCCGCAAAATCTATGTGAACCCTTGACCAGGGCCCCCTGGGTGTTTCCCACTCGAGGGTCGGTGCAGCGGGGGGGTTGGTCTGGATCTTTGGCATTTGCCACATGTTGCCACCCATGTCTCGATGGTTTTGTCCATCCCCGGCCACCAGACGTAGCTCCTGGCCAGGGATTTCATCTTTACGATGCCTGGGTGTCCCTCATGCAGCATGTCTAATACCCTCGTTTGCAATGTTTCCGGAACCACCACTCTGTCCCCCCATAATAAACATCCCTTTTGAGTAAATAGTTCAATCTGTCGGTTCCGGAAAGGTTTAAAGTGGTCGCCCCCCTCGGTTTCCGGCCATCCTTTTTCCACCCAGCTCAAGACCCGCACCAGTTTCCTGTCTTTAATAATCTCTCTGGCGATGTCTGTCACAGTCATTGGTGGGTTGGCCAGTGTCTCTATCTGTAGGGTGGATGTGGTGGGTGCTGGGTCGTCTTCCAGGTCCGGCAGGGGGGAACGGCTTAGTGTGTCTGCGTGCAAGATGCTTTTCCCGGGGCAGTGTATTAGTTGATAGTTGTAGGCGGCAAGGAACTCGGACCACCTTGTCATCCGCGGTGACAAAATGTTAGGGGTGGCCTTGTTCCCTGCCAGGATCCCCAGGAGTGGTTTATGATCGGTGATAAGGGAGAAGGTTCTACCGTACAGGTACTCGTGGAACCGCTTCACGCCGGTGATCGCTGCTAGCGCCTCCTTGTCCAGCTGGCTATAGTTCCTCTCTGCCCCGGACAATGTTTTGGAAAAATATGCAATTGGCACTTCTCTCCCGTCCAGCAGAGTGTGGCTCATGATGGCTCCGACGCCAAATGGCGAAGCGTCGCAGGTCACCGTCAGCGGTAGGGTTTCACTATACTGTATGAGGACTGATTCCGATGTTAGGAAGTCTTTTATTTTCTGAAATGCGGTTTCTTCCCGCTTGCCCCAGGACCATGTGGCTGTCTTGTCCAGTAATCTATGAAGGGGCTCCGCCGTTGTTGCCTTCTGTGGCAAGAAAACATTATAAAAGTTAATAAGTCCTAGGAAAGCCTGTAGCTCCGCTTTATTCTGTGGTCTCGGAGCTTCCCTGATGGCTTTAACTTTCTTCTCTGTGGGGTGGATTCCTTTTTTGTCAACCAGGTACCCCAGGAATTCTACTTTTTCTGTGCATAGTTGACACTTCTCTTTTTTAACTTTTAGTCCTGCATCTTTAAATTTTTGCAGGACCTCCCTGAGGCGGCTCCCCAATTGGCTTTTGTTTTTTGCTGACACCAATACATCATCGAAGTAGGGCACCACCCCTTTTATTCCTTGCAATAGTCGTTCCATTAAACTCTGGAAAGTATTTAATGAGAATATTTCATTCATTCAGATCTAGGATGTCTTATTTTTGTGTTCCCTTTATTTTTTTGAGCAGTGTACATATACATTTTTTTCAAGAACTTAGTGTGTATTTTTAAGGGAATGTACCAAGCAGAATTCAGTTGATAATAGTTATGTGTTATAAAATAGAGGTTAGAAAATGAATGTTATAACTGTAAAGGTATATAATTAAACTTTAAACAAGATTTGAATGGATAAAAATTAAAAGATACAAAGGTGTTACACTCCAGTCTAGTAACTACAGGGGGAAATTTGTTTTATGAGAAAAGAAAATATGAAATTGTAAACAGGACAGACAAAAGCATAAAAATATTGACTAGAAAGATACTGAAAACTAGAAAAAGATATGTAATTGAACTTAGAAAGGAATGAGATAATTAAAAATAAGGTTATAGAAAGCAAGGAAAGGGAAAAACTATTGAGAAAATTGCAAAAATAGTTATAAGATATGGATAAGAATACATAAGATGAATATGTAATTGAGTTTATGTCTCTATGGAGAAGTGATAATCCAGGAGCTTGCTGTTCTCAAAAAAAGATATTTTATTTGCATTTGTATGTTTTGTGAAAACCCAAATAAAACTCTTTGAAAAAAAAAGAAAATATAATTGACTAAACAAAGGATATGAGAAAATAAAAAATATGGATCATATTGGAATTTTATAACGAGAATATTATATAATAATTAAAAAGAGGGGAATGAAATTTTATTTAAATTACAAGGGTAAAATTTGGCTATGTGGAAATAAAGAAAAAAAATATGAAATGGTTATATGAACAGTGTTGTAATAAATATAAGACATATTGTAGATTGAGGAATATACCATGTGGATCCTAAATATATTAATATTACTTTAATCTTGCTTTTTTTGTGTGTTTACTATATATTGGACTTGAGTTAATTAATGAAGATAATAATGCATAAGGTAAAATAAAATAGGTGGTAAGCTGAAAATTGAAATAATAGGGGATAAAGAATTGAAAATATATTTGAGGAAATGATTTTGATATTGAATTAATGAATTGAAATATGAAATGAAAATTTATTTGAAGATTAGTGGAGTGGATAATAATTTGATGTGTTATTAAATAAGAAAGTTGAAAATGTAAGTATGACTATGTATAAATGTAATCTGGAATCATGTTGCTCACGTGAAGAGATATGTAAAAAATAAAAATAAAAAACTTTTATTGAAAAAAAAAGAAGAGAAAGGGGAAGATTTACTGGATGTGATGACAGTTGCTGGCCGAAACCTGACAGAAAAGAGGTTCAAGGGGAAATAGATGAAATATTTAGAATTCATACAAACTATGCGAGAAGACATAAACTCCCAAGAGAACTACATGTGAGATTTATCAAAAAGACACTGAGAGATGAAATACTTAAAAAGAACAAGAGGCGAAGCTTTGAAATATAAAGGAAAAGAAATTGTGACTTTGAAGCAGATCCTCAGGAGAGTAAGAGACCAAAGGAGACAATACCAATTCTTGACAGTGCAGTTGATTAAGTACAATGTGAGTTTCAGATGGTTGATACCAGAGGGAATCTTGACTACTTGGCAAGACAAAAGACATGCGTTGGACTCATTAAATAAAGCATGTGAATTTTCTGATCAACATTATACTGCAAATGAAGAACAGGGAAGCAGTGAACAGATAGAAACTAAAAGACAAGAAGAAATACCATCAGAAGAAAAGGGTCCACAACAAGAAGAAAGTAAAAATGAAGAGTGAGCAGAACAAGAAGGGGAAAGGGCAAAAGAACAGAGAGAGATAAGATCAACTTGTTATATATGGAAATTTGCCATATAAACCTGAGAATATAAAGAGCAAGACTGAAGCCGTATTTGTTCTCTGTGTGACCTGTTAGAGATCAGAATGGTTATGAAACTTGTTTTGCAAATGTTCTGTCTGGTTATGAAATCATTTGTTCTTGGCTTAGGTTAATAAGAAGGTAATCTTGACATTATAGGAATATTAATGATCACTTGTGTAACCATTTGGAGAAAAACAGGAAATCTGACTATAATGAGAATGTTGGGAGTTTTCCATGGAAGGTTGGAACTTTCTTATGAAAAACGTTGTATAACTTCTATGTATGGACAACAGGAAGTGTTATGTAACCATGTGATTTGATAAACCTATATAAGCTGTAGTCACTAAATGGAAGCGTCTCCTTCCTCCTAAACATGGCTGGTTTTGGAGTTGGGGGTCCCATACTGCAGTATCTTCCCTAATAAAGCATCCTATGGATCAGATTATCAAAAGTATGTTGATTTATTTTTATGCAAATCGCACAAACTAGAAGCGTCAAACCTAAATATAAATGAAATGGTGGAAGAAGTAAAGATGTTATCAGTTAACATAAATTAATTGAACTCCCCTATGAAAAGGGAAAAAAACTTTTACAAAATTACAAAAAATAAAATTGGATTTAATTTGTCTTCAAGAGATGCATATTAAAAAAAAACACACAAACTTATTGGATTACCCTAAAATTGGGAAATTATACTCTGCCTTAGCACAACGAAAAAAAAGAGGGGTGGAGAAGGTGGAGCCACTTCGCTGCGATACAGCTGCAATCTCGGGGCTCCGAGATCACAGCTGATATCTTCGCCCCTGGTCGGTCCCAACGGACCTAAACCGTCCCATAGGGACGGCAATAGCAAGGGGTGCGTTCTGCTGATCCCAGGGACATCGCAAAGTCCCTGGTTGATCCAGAAGAAGCCCCTTTACCATCGGCGGAGAGGCGGCCATTAAGCTGCTGAAGCTGTGACAGCTCCGGAAGGAAGAGTCAGAAAGAGAAAGTGTATTGGCTGGTGAGAATTTTCTTTTTTTTTTTATTCGGGACTTAAGGACACTCTAAAATGAGAAGAATCCTGTAAGACTTTGGACAAAAACTGATAAAATTGACTTAGCGGCGATTTTTTAAAGAGAATGTCAAACTGAGGCTTGGCTTTTTACTTTTACTTTTGTTTTCATTGAACTTCTATTGTGATCTACTAACTGTAACTAGACTGGTTTTTTTCTCTTATATTTATCTAATTTTTCTTTCTTTTTTTCTCCCTTTTGACTGTTAATAGTTTTTTTTTTTAGAACAGAGGCTCCCTTTAGTAATTTTTTTTCCCTTAAATATATATATATATACATGTATATTTCCTTTTTTTATTAGGCTTTTTCTGGGAAAGAAGGGGGAGTGGATTAAAGAAACCTTGTAACACTGCCAGCTAGAGGCTTGAAAATACTTTATTGGAAGTTGAGAGGACTGTGAAGAAATCCTTTCTCAAGGACACTGGAACTTGATAAGATAGAGGGAAGAACACTGGAGAATGTTTTAACAGGTGTTCTTTGGAACTTCTATTATTAATTGAGTACTTGAAGCTTGGCTTTGGAATTTGTGGAGAAGCCTTGGATAACTAAATAAGATGCAGTGTGCTTTCTTTTTTACCTTCTTTTAGCTGTTCCATCCCTCCTCTTCAATCCCACAGTATCTTGTAATATTTGTATGCCTATTTTTTTTTCTTGTTTGACTTTATTTTTATTTTTCCTCTTAAAGGGAAAGCCTCAGAATACTTTTCTTTTTTCTTTTTTCTTATTGGGATTTTTGCCTTTTCTATTTTCATCTTTTATTTACTTTTATGGTTATTTTTATTTTTTGAGACCTCATAATTGGATTAAGGTGTGAAGAACCTGAAGAATTCTTTTTTCTTTTCTTCTTTTTTTATCATTGCTTTTTAATATTATTGGGTTTTACTCTCTTTTTCTTTTTTTTATTATTCTTAATTTTTACTTTTGAATTATAATCGACTATCCCACAATAGGATTAAGGTTTAGAAGAACCTGAAGAATTTCCTCCTTTTTCTTTTTAATCTTCTTTTTCTCCTTCTCTTTTTAATTCTGGACTCTTTATTTTTTATTGGCTTTTTTATGTTTTTCTTCTTCCCAATTGGATTATAATTGGCTATCTTATTAATTGGATTAAAGGAGCTTAAAGATCCTGAGTTACTCAAATGAGTAAGAAAACTTTACCTTCTGGCAGTTCAACTTCTGCTCCTGCTTCTCCATCAACTGGAGGACGACTATCAATAATGGCGAAGCAAGATAAAGTACAAATGGACCTAGCGATGATTATACAAGGAATACAAGAACTCAAAATGAGTATTGACCAAAGAACAGAGAGTATTGAACAAAGAATTGAGAAGACTGATGAAAAAATTGAAAATTTTCAACAAATGATGGAGAAACATGAGGAGAGACTCCAAAAAATTGAAGAGAAAGACAAACAAAGAGATGAGACAATTGGAAATATCATTAGCAAATTAACAATGGTTGAACAAGATATAACTGGGATGTTGAAGTGGGAGATGGATAGGTCAGAATTTTATCTCAGATTTCAAAATATAGAGGAAGAAAAAGGACAAGATTTGGCGGCTGTAATGATAGAAATTTTGGCTGGAGCTTTGGGGATAACAGAGGAAAAGATGATGGATGGAGTAGATGAGATATACCGTGTCTTCACAAGATATGCGATGAGGAATAAGCTACCAAGAGAGGTCCATGTCAGATTTACTAAAAAGCCTATTAAAACACAAATACTACAAGTGTCAAGAGATAAGGTGTTGAAATATAAAGATAAAGAGATTGTGGTTCTAAAACAAGTGCCCAGAAGAGTGAGAGAGATGAGAAGAGAATATCGATTCTTGACCAAAAAGTTATTGGAAAAAGAGGTGAATTATAGATGGTTGATTCCAGAAGGATTAATGTTCATATGGCAAGAACAGAGACACAGAATCGACTCAATTGAGAAAGCAGAAACATTCTACAATGAATTTTTTGGAAGAAGAGAAGTAGAGACAGAAAAAGAGATTATCCCGACTGAACCCCAAGAAGACCAAATGGGAATGGGAAAAGAAGAAGGTGCGGTAGGTGGACAAATGGAGACCAAAGAACAATGTGAAGTAAGATTTACGAGAACTGTTAGACCTAAATACAAAACATAACTATGGAGGAAAAAAAATTGATTTCTATGAATATAAATGGATTGAACTCAGCTATCAAAAGAAGGAAAACCTTTCATAAATTAGAGAAATTAAAATTTGATATAATTTGCCTACAAGAAGTACATATTAAAAAACAACATCAACGATTATTGGTACGACCAAAACTGGGGAAAATTTTTACTTCCTTGACTAACTGTAAGAAAAGAGGAGTGGTCTTGTACATTAAAGAAACTATTGCAGTAAAATTGATTTATACTGATGAAGACGGGAGAGTATTAATGGTTGAAATAGTGGATAACAATACAAAAACACTCCTGGTTGCAATTTATGCTCCGAACGATAAGCAAGAAGAATTCTATAAAAAGTTACATATGAAAACAATTGGACTGGACTATATCAATATAGTTATGATGGGAGATTTCAATGGAATTGTAGATAATAAACTGGACTATACAGCGACAGCATCAAAACAAAATAGAAAGACTCTCCCTAAATCCTTTTTCAAAATGATAGATGAATTAAATCTAAAAGATATATGGAGAGAAAGAAATGGTAAAACTCAACAATATACTTTTTATTCAAATCGACATTTATCATGGTCCAGAATAGATATGATTTGGACTTCATCAGAATTAATATCTAATATTCAAGAAATAAATATTGAAATGGGTATATGGGCAGACCATAATCCAATGACAATTAAATGGAAAGGACAAAAAAGAAGATCTAGATGGACTTTAAATAATACTATTTTAAAGGAAAAAGATTTCACACAATGGATGGGCAAAGAATTGGCTTTCTTTTTCAGTGAAAATAAAAAAGAAGATACTTCAATGCAGAATGTTTGGGATACAATGAAGGCATATGCGAGAGGATTAATAATGGACTATACAAAGAAAAAGAATATTAGGAAGAGGCAAATTATTAAAGCTTTAGAAGATGATTATAAAAAACTGGAAAAAGAATTGCAGAATATGCCACAGAAAAAAGATCTTAAACTCAAAATGGATATAATTAAACATAGGATGGGTCAGGCAGAGAAAGAACTGGCACAAAAAATTAGAAGTGTTAAACAGAACTATTTTGAAGATGCAAACAAGCCAGGTAGATGGCTAGCATACAAATTGAGAAAGGAGAAAGAATCTAGGAGAATATTACAGCTAATAGATGATCAAGGTCAAATGTGTTATGGTAATAAGGAGAAAAAGGTAATTATTCGAGACTTTTATGGACAATTATATAAACAGGAGGATTTTGATGAGGAAAGAATTAAACTTTATTTACAAAATGCTAACCTACCTAAGATATCTGAAGAGACTGAAAAAATGTTAGAAAGCACTATAACAATGATGGAACTAACTGAAGCATTCAATAGGCAGAATAATGGAAAAGTACCAGGCCCAGATGGGCTCCAGGCAGAATTTTATAAAACACTACAAGAATCGTTGAGCACTCCACTGTTAGAAGTCATGAATGAAGTTATGTTAAATAAGAAAATACCTAAAACATGGTCAGAAGCTTATATTACACTTATTCCAAAAGAAGGGGCCGATCCATTACTAATTAAGAACTATAGACCTATTTCTTTACTGAATGCAGACTATAAAATTTTTGCTTCAATTTTGGCAGAAAGGCTCAAAAGATACTTAAATAACTTTATTCATCCTGATCAGAATGGATTCCTGCCAAAGAGACAAATTAGAGATAATATGAGGGTAATTCTGGACACTTTGGAATATTATGAGGCGCATCCTGAAAAACAAATGGCTTTGATATTTTTAGATGCCCAAAAGGCATTTGATAATGTGAACTGGAGATTCATGTTTTTGTTATTGGAACAGATGGGCTTTGCTAGAAAATTTATTCAAGCAATAGAAGCCATATATGATAAGCAAATGGCAAAAGTAATGATAGAGGGAGAATTTACAGACACTATTAATATAAGAAAAGGCACAAGACAAGGATGCCCATTATCACCTTTGTTATTTGTATTGACTTTGGAAGCGCTGAATAGAAATATTAGAGAGGATCCAAATATAAAAGGAATGAAAGTTAAGAAGGAGGAATTTAAACTGCAAGCCTTTGCGGATGATTTGGTTTTTATTCTGGAAGATCCTCTAGAAACAGCTTTAAAACTATTGGAAAAGATAGAGATGTATGGTGAGATGGCAGGTTTGAAAATAAACAAAGATAAAACAAAGATTTTGACAAAGAACATGCTACTAAAACAAAGAGATGAACTGGCAGACTTATTGAAAATTCAAGTTACGAATAAGGTTATTTCTGTGGTATAAGGGAACTAAATCGCAGGGCTATTTTAGAAGGCACTATATAAGGGAGTCTTTATGGTTGAATTGGGAGAAAATGTTATTTGAAAATCCCAGTCTGGTTATCAACTATTGAAGCTTTTTCTTATCCTATAATATATGAGAAGGAACAGTTAGATATGGGGAAATATTGGATGAAAAGAGTGAACTTAAAACAATGCAAAAACTAGAAGAACAAGGCATAAAGATGAATTGGTTCTCGTATGCGCAAATACATTCAAGGTATCTTATAGATTCTAAAATGGAGGGATTTTATGATAAATTGACTGATTTAGATAGGATTTTGACAGGTACTGATGAAAAAGTGATTAAAAAATTATACAGTTATTTGTTGGAAATTATATTAGAGGAGGAACAAGTTAAAGAAACGATGATTGTTTGGGGGAAGAATTTTGGATATGGGATTGATTTGGAGAAATGGGAAAAATTGTGGTCTCAAAATTATAAAATGACAATGTCAACAGCATATAAAGAAAACTTGTATAAGATGTTTTACAGGTGGCATTTCCCCCCAACAAGAATAGCAAGAATGTTCAAGAACAAATCTGAAAAGTTCTGGAAATGTCATCAGATACCTGGTTCATACTACCATATGTGGTGGGCTTGTGAGGATGCTAGAAAATATTGGACTAAAATTCGCATATGGTTGGAAAAAATGATAAAGACACATATAGACTTGAAACCAGAGGTTTTTTTGTTGGGAATCTTACCTGATACATATAATAAAAATTTGAAGTATTTGTTTGTAAATGTGTTGACAGCGGCTAGGATTGTATTTGCTAAAAACTGGAAGAGTGAGAAAATTCCATCAGAGGAAGAAATTATCAAGAAAATATTGGATTGTGCTGAAATGAGTAAATTGACATTTGAAATTAGAGAACAAGAAGATAAACAATTTTATGAAGTTTGGGATCTTTTTTATCAATGGTTAGATAATAAAATACAATAATAGAATATTTAGATTTAGGATATAATTTTTTTTTATATTATCTTTATAAAACTTAATTAAGATAGATTTGGTATGATTTTATGATTCGTTGCAAAATAAATTAAGTAAATTATAGTTATCTCGTTAAAGTATGAATTAATAAAATTATAGTTAAATGATTTCTTAGTAATGATAATAGGTTATACAATTGTTGATTGATAATATGAGTTATTATGTAATATAATTATATTAGCGTTTAGGAAATGGATGCACAAAAAAAAGTGGTAAACCAACTGATACACTGTTTGTAAATTTATGAAGAAGGATGTTTTTATGTTTTATGTTGTACGTTTTATGTTGTTTTGTTTGTTGTTAAAATAAAAAACTTTTTTTTAAAAAAAGAAACAAAAGAGGGGTGGCATTATATGCTAAAGACACTTTAAAAGCTAAACAAGTATACTCGGATGAAGAAAGGTGAATCTTGATGGCTGAGGTCGTAATTAATGACAAACAGATTCTTTCAATTGCAATATATGCACCAATCAACAAACAAGAAGAATTTTACAAAAACCTACATAAGAAAATAATTGAAATGGACTATGAAAATATATGTATGATAGGAGATTTTAATGCAATTGTGGATACCAAATTAGATTATAGAAGCAGTTAAAAAAGCAAAAAAATAAGGACACATCCAAAAACATTTTTTAAAATGACACAAGAAATATGCATACAAGATATATGGAGAGAGTTAAACCCAAAGAAAAATCAATATACTGTACATTCTACTTGAATAGACACCAATCATGGTCTAGAATAGACGTGATATGGATGTCACCAGAAATGAGAGTAGATGTTCAAGAGGTTGACATAGTAACAAACATATGGGCAGATGATAATCCAATAACAGGTGGAAGGGACAGAGGAAGAAATTGAGATGGACATTGAACCAGGCTATACTAAAGGAAAATGTGTTTATACAAATAATGGAAAAAGAAATGGACTTTTTCTTTAAAGAAAATAGAAAAGAAGAAACATCACTACAAAATGTGTGGGACATGGCCAAAGCATATATGTGAGGATTAGCCATAACATACATAGCAAAAAGAAACAAGAAAAAGAAACAACAACAAAAAATACTACAAGATATTAAAAAGCTGGAGACAGAACTGCAGAAAACTCTGCAAAAGAGCACCATAAAAGAAAAAATGGAATTAACAAAACACAAATTAAATTTAATAGAAAAAGAATTGCACAAAAAATTAAAATGACAAAACAAAACTTTTTTGAAAATGAAAATAAGCCAGGAAGATGGCTAGTGTATAAGCTGAAAAAAAGAAAAAGAGAAGAAAATGATACATAAACTGTTAGATGAGAAGGGGATTCTCCACCACCAAAATGAAGATGAAAAGAAAATATTCCAGGAATTTTACAGAAAACTTTTTTGTGTCAGCGTTCCAGAGAAAATCCATTCCTGTCAGTAACTCCAAGACACCCGTCATCTCAAAGTACTTTTATTAGAATAGCACCTGGCACATTCTGTGGAAATCCAGAACTAAATCTTCCCGGCTTCCCCACAAAGTCCCAACCTACAAACCATTCCCTTTTCCCTCATCACCACATCACATGAACCAATCCCAAAGTAAGTTCTAATTCTTTCTGCGTCATACTCTGTAACCTTGAACTATCAAAATAATATATTTTGTCTACTAAGAGCTACTCAATTAACATCACCCCCCTCCCACTTTCTCCAACTATGTGGCAGCGATGAATTCCATAGCTGACATATAGTCAAGAAAAAGTATCAGAAGTCATGATAAAACAATACTTGAAGAAGACTGCATTACCTAAGATACAAGAGACAGCGCAAGCGATGTTAAATGAAAGAATAATGATGATGGAATTAACAGAAGCAATTAAAAGACAAAAAAGCAATAAAATTCCTGGACCAGATGGGCTCCTGGCAGAACTTTCTAAACATTTACAAGATACATTAGGGCTGCCAATGTTGGAGGTCTATAATGAAGGCTTGTTAAAGGCCAACCTCACCAAAATCTGGTCAGAAGCAAATATTACTTTAATACCAAAAGAAGATTCAGACTTACAACAGGTAAAAAAACTATAGACCGATATCATTATTAAATGTAGACTACAAAATATATGCCTCAATAATAGCAGAGAGATTGAAAAGGCTTCTGAATGAATTTATACATCCAGATTAGAATGTCTTTCTACCTAAACAACAACTTAAAAACATGAGAATTATCTTGAATACATTGGAATATTATGAAGTACACTCTGAAAAACAGTTGGCGCTGATCTTCCTAGATGCGCAAAAAGCCTTTGATAATTTGAATTGGCAATTCATGATATCTCAGTTAAAATGTATGGACTTTGGTGAAAAATGTATAAATATGATCAAGGCAATATATTCTAAACTAATGGCAAAAGTGATAGTTAATGGGGATATGACAGAGGATGTTAACATTAGCAAAGGCACAAGACAAGGATGCCCTCTGCCCCCCCTTATTATTTATACTGATTTTGGAAGTTTTGACTAGAAAGATCAGAAAAGATTCAGAAATAAAAGGTATGGAAACAAAAAAAGAAAACTATAAATTGCATGAGTTTGCGGATGATCTAGTATTTATACTAGAACAGGTGACGGCAACCTGCAGCTCTGGAGCCACATGAAGTTCTTTCCTCCCCCTGCTGTGGCTCCCTATCAGCTGAACCCACCACTAGCTGGCCCTGCCCCTCGCCCTCCCAGTCACTCCTTGCCTGGCCTGAGAAGGGCAACGGCTGGGGATGGAGAGTCGCTCCATATTCCAGAGCAGGAGCAAAGTGCCCCTGTACTTGCCTCATCTTGTGGGTGCTTCTTCTGGCCCTTGTTGGTGCTGTGTGCACCTCGGTTGCTTGGGGAGACACGCAACTTGCTCTCCACCCTGAGACCACTGGCCCAGCCCAGCTGTGGCCGATGCTCCGTGTTGTAATGGGCTCCAGGAGGAGGGGACGCTGTGTCCCCCATTGTGAAGCACACTAAATTTCACTGTGCTGCACAAGGCAGAGAGCAAGTCATGTGTCTCCCCAAGCGACCGAGATGCGCGCAGCATCAACAAGGACCAGAAGAAGCGCCTATGAGATGAGGCAAGTACAGGGGTGTTTCACTCCCACTCTGGAATATGGAGCAAATCTCCATCCCCCACCGTTGCCTTTACCTTCTCAGGCCAGGCAAGGAGTGTCTGGGAGGGGAGGGCAAAGGGCAGGGCCAGTCAGTGCTGGGTTCATCCAACAGGGATTCACAGCAGGGGGGCAAAAGAACTTCATTTATCTGGGAAGCTGAAATGACTCTTGATTTAAATAATACAGTAAAAGGCACCCAAAGAAAAAGAAAGAACATCAGCAAAAAGAAAAACCACCCAACCCTCGCCTGTTTTGGGAAATGGTTCAAGAGGGAACACACACACACACGAGAGAGAGGGGGGGGAAAGAGGGGGGGAGTGAGGGAGAAAGAAAGAAAGACAGAGAGAGAAAGAGAGAAAGGGAAAGAGACAGAGAGAGAGGGAGGGAAAGAAAGAGAGAGAGAGAGAGAGGGAGAGAAAGAGGGACAGACACAATGATAGACAGAGATAGAGAGAAAGAGAGAAGGAGGGAAAGAGACACGGAGACAGAAAGAGAGAGAGAGTCATGTGACTGGATGGGAGTGAGTGACGTCGAGTTGGCCATGACCGCCCAGGTTTTGTGGCTCCTGGTGTTTTCTTTTCTGTCGGAAATGGGTCCAAATGGCTCTTTGAGTGTTTAAGGTTGCAGACCCCTGTACTAGAAGAACCATTATAAACAGGACCTAAGTTATTAAAAAAAATAGAGGAATATTGTGAAGTAGCAGGATTAAAAATAAACAAAGAAAAAACTGAAATGTTGGTAAAGAATCTTACAAATAAACAGAAAAATGAACTGACGGAAAAGTTGGGCATTCAGATAAATAAAAAAGTAAAATATTTAGGAATTTGCTTAACAGCAAGATGTTTAACTATCTGAGAAGATAAATATTCTAAACTAGTTCAACAAATAAAGCTAGATCTGGAAAAATGAAAAAACCTATCATTATCAATGGTAGGAAGAATTGCTACAATAAAAATGAATATCTTACCGAAGCTATTATTCCTGTTTCAAATGATTCTGATAAAAACTGAAAAAAGTTCTTTGAGGATCTAAACAAATTGATCTTATTATACTGTAGTCGCTATTGAGGTCCTGTAGATGGCGGTAGCAGCAAACTGCAGTGTTTAAAAACCTCTTTGCTACTTGCATGATCTCATGCAAGTATCTTTCTTAGGTTGGAAAGTCCCGGACTTATAGATGATCTCACTTTACTAACATCACCAATATTCTTAAGGATTGGTTGGGAGGTTTTACCAATGTGACATCTATTCTCCAATCCTTATGCTGTATCTATGTTACTCTTCCTTGCTTGTAAAAATGGTATATAAGAAAATAAACTACGTGGTAGTCAGACATCTTGGCACCCTGCACAATGACTGGTTATTGAACTCCCACAAGTGGCACCCAACCAGGGACATTAAACCTACGGGGAAGCGGCTCCCAACATACTTATCGTCTGGAATAGACCCCTAAGGTACGCACTTCATCCTATGGGACCGATCAGAGGTAAGTATGGGCTGCAATCTATCTCAACACCAGCAGAAACATGTTCAGGAACTCAGATTCCTGTAACATAAATCAGGTGCAAAAGTACCTGAGGCTGATATAAAAAAGCTGATTGAAGAGATAGGAAAGCTTTGTCCCTGGTACCCTGAGCGAGGGACACTCAGGTTACAGGATTGGATAAAGATAGGGCATACTTTACATCTTGAACCCAGGGCTCCAGTTCAAATATTACATCAATGGTATCAATGCCGTCAAGCAGTGGAACAATTTGGCTCTGATGTCTCAATGGGGCAAAGATTAATTACCAGCCCCACTCCTGATTATGATCAGGTAAAAATTGTCACCCCAAAATCATTTCCAACTGGACCTTCAGCTCCTTCTGAAGAGATTAAATCTTTTGCTTCCTCCCAGCCAGTGTACACCCCCATAAGGAAAATATTGGAAGAACAATTAGACAAAGTGGGGGGGGAATATAGAAGAAATAGCAAATATGCTTTCCATGTGTCCAGTGCATGCCACCAGACAAGTAGATCAAAATGGAGTTCAAATAGTAGGATATCGCCCTCTGTCGTATGCAATTTTAACAGAACTTAGAAAAGGAATTAGAGATATGGGGTTGGGAAGTACCTATGTACAAGGAATGTTAGAAGCTACTATGAGAAATCATATTTTAGTACCTGAAGATTGGAAAACTACCTTTCGCATGTTGCTTACTCCAGCGCAATATGTGGTTTGGCACAGTGAAGAAGAACAACTTTATTGTCATTGTACAAGTACAACGAAACTGTGGATGCACCCCAGCAACTGTTTGCAATACAATAAAACCAAAGCACTTAAAAATGAAGATAAGAAAAATAGAGTACCCACGTCTCCATTTGCAATTTGAGAGTACAATATCTACGAATATACACAAAATATACATCCAACACTGACTGTAACGCTTAGCTGAGTATAATACACAAGAGATGGATTGTACTGTAATATGTTATTATACATCTGAATGGGATATTGAGATTTCACATCTTTTCACATCTTAATAAGGTAGTGACTTTGTGTTTATTTGCGGTTCGGATGGCCCAGGGAAAGAAACTATTTGTTAGTCTAGTGGTGTGGGATTTTATTGACCTAAAATGCCGTCCAGATGGCTGCAGGTCAAAAAGATAATTGCCAGGGTATGAGGGGTCTTCTATGATGGCCTTGATTCTGCTTTGGCAGCGGGACCTGGCTAAGTCTTCCAGGGAGGGCAGAGGGCAAGCAATGATCTTTTGAGCTGTGTTTATCACCCTCTGTACAGTTTTCCTGTCCTCAGCTGTGGAGCCTGCATACCACGCACTCAGACAATATGTCAGAGTACTCTTCACAGAGGCTTTATAGAAAGCCAGCAACAGCTTCTTATCCAGATTGTTCTTCCTGAGAACCTGCAGGAAGTGCAGCCACTGCTGAGCCTTCTTCACTATGGCCTTGGTATTAGGGGACCAGGAGATATCAGCTAAAATATGGATGTCAAGGAATCTGATCGTAGGGACAGTTTCCACTCGTTCTCCGTTGATGATGAGTGGGGCGTGGTTCTGTCCATGTTTCCTGAAGTCCATAATCAGTTCTTTGGTTTTATGGACATTAAGTGACAGATTGTTCTGTGAACACCAAATAGACAGGTTGTCTACTTCTGCCCTATATGCTGTCTCATCCTGGTGAATATAGACACCAATGTGCTGGGGGTGCTCAGCATTCAGGGGGGCATTTACTCCTGAGCAATTGTATGGAACTGGTAATTTTGCTCCAGTTGATGCTCAGATTGTTTTGCCAGCTACCACTTTACAAATTTCTTCTGAATGTGCCTATTGAGCATTCTCTAAAGTGCCCGTTTCTAGCAAGCCTCATCAAGCTTTCTCTAACATCAGGCAGAAAGCGACTGAGCCATACCCTGATTTTATTAACAGATTACAAGGTGCTTTAAGGTGGCAGATAGACAATCATGAGGCTCAGCATGAGTTATTAATGAAGCTGGCAAGGGAAAATGCCACTTCTGAATGTAGAAGGGCAATTATTGGTCTGGGAACTAACCCTGATTTGGCAGAAATTATTAAAGCATGTCAAGATGTAGGAACAGCCTCTTATCAAACTAATTTGTTAGCAGCTGCTTTATCTCAAGGCAACTTGTTCGTGGCTGCTTTGTCTCAAGATGGCAAGTCTAAAGGAAAGTGTTACAACTGTGGTAAACATGGTCATTTTAAATGGGAATGTTGTAATTCAGAAAGAGGTATTTCTACACCTCGGCCCCCTATTCATCAGAGGTTGAGAATAAGACCAAGAACAAAATGTCCAAAGTGTCAGAAGGGTTATCATTGGGCAAGAGAATGTTGGTCGGGAAACGGCCAACTGGGCCGGTCTCTGGCCCCAGTCCAAACAGAGACAACATACCAACAATAGAAAATACTCCTGCAGCTACAAGAGGTAGTGCTGGTATTGATTTGATACTGCAGGAGGAAGTTAATTTTATATTTCCTGGGGAGGTTCAAGTAGTTCCATCACAATTATCAGGCCCCCTACCACAAAATTATGTGGGGCTTGTCCTTCCTCGATCAAGTATGAGTAAAAAAGGTATTTTTGTTATTCCTGGAGTGATAGATTCAGATTACACCGGAATCATTTATGTCCAATTGTGAACTAATTTTCCTCAAATTTTGCCCATTCACTCTAGTCCTGCTCAATTACTGCATTTGCCTTATTTTGTCCCAGCAGGGGAAGAGCCAAAAGAGAGAGGGGAAGGAGGTTTCGGTTCTACTGACCCGGCCACTTCCATCCTAGCTGCCATCATTACCCCCATCACATTTCAACGGCCCCATCAGATCATTGTGTTGCAGGGTAAGCCCTTTGAGGGTATTTTGGACACTGGAGCGGATGTTTCAGTGATTTCTGCTAAGCAGTGGCCTAGCACCTGGCCAACTGAGCCCTGTCTAAGTGTGTGGGGTCATCAACGTGCATGTCAAACTGCACAATTTATTTCAGCTCATTTGTCTAATTCAGATTTGGTCATTCAGGTCCATCGTTTTATATTAGATATTCATGTCAGCCTTTGGGGACGCGACCTGCTCAGTAAATTGGGAGCCACCCTTACTCTGGAAGACTGAGGCTACTGCCCTTCCATTGAATTGGCTGGTTACAGAGCCAGTATGGATTGATCAATGGCCCATGTCACATGAAAAATTAACAGCTCTCCGTCAGCTAGTAAGTGATCAATTGCTTGCTGGTCATATTGTCCCTTCTAATAGTCCATGGAATACCCCTGTATTTGTTATAAAAAAGAAAAGTGGCAAATGGCGCCTCCTGCATGATCTGCGTTCCATTAATTTATGTATTCAACCTATGGGCCCTTTACAGTGTGGAACGCCTAACCCTAATTTGATTCCTCAAGATCATAAAGTAATGGTCATTGATTTAAAAGATTGTTTTTTCTCTATTCCTTTATGCTCCTCTGATCAAGAAAAGTTTGTATTTACTGTGCCTGCAGTAAATCATTCAGAACCTAATAAATGTTATCATTGGACAGTTTTGCCACAAAGAATGTTAAATAGTCCCACATTATGTCAGCTTTATGTCGCTGCAGCATTAGCTCCTTTTCACAAGCGTCATCCATTGGTTTTGGTCTATCATTATATGGATGATACTTTAATTGGAGCACCAAAGATACAACCCAATTGGCTTTCAGAACTAAAAAATGATTTAAGTGTCTATGGATTGCAGATTGCTCCAGAAAAAGTGCAGTTGCCCTCTCCTTATCTTTTTTAGGACATAAAATGTTACAATCTTATTCTGTTCCAGCTTTTCCTCATTTAACTTTACCTAAAGTTATTTCTTTGGTTAATTTGCAACAATTGTTAGGCACCGTTAATTGGGTTTGTCCATATTTTTCTTTACCAACACATTTACTTAGTCCATTATTTGATTTACTAACTGAAGGAAAACAACCTGCAGATCTTAATACAGTTCCACCTGCTGCTTTTACTGCAGTTGAGCAGATTAATGATATTTTAAGTATTCAGTATGTAGATCACATTCCTCATAGAAACTGTCAGTTAACTCTTTTAATTTTTCCTACTAATAAACTGCCTACAGGAGTATTAACTGTGTTAGAAGAAAAAAAGTATATTGTATTGAATGGCTTTATTTACCTCATACTCCATCTCAAAATGTTTTACCCTTTATCCAAACTATTTCTGAAATAATAATTTTAGGACGAACTCAAGCTTGTCAGAGAAATGGGACCGATTTAATGAATATTATTCTTCCCATCCCAAAGTCTGATTTTCAATTTTATTTTCAAAATAACTTATCTCTTCAATGTGCTTTAACTGACTATGTAGGCTGTATTGCATATCATTTGCCTAAAGAACCTCGGTTTGCTTGCTTAATGACTTCTTCCTTTCCTGTTCGTACATTACTTTCTCCTTCTCCATTGCCTCGAGCTCCTACTGTTTTTTCAGATGGTGGACGGACAAGAGGAGCGATTGCTTACAAGGATGATGATGATACCTGGAAAGTGTCCTACACTGCAGTACAATCCTCACTTCAACGTTCAAAATTATCTGCTGCTATTTTAGCTTTCCAAACCTTTTCTCAACAGCCTTTCAATTTAATCTCTGACTCTCATTATATGTGTCAAGTTATTTTTAATCTTCCAGGTGCTTATATCACGCCCCGGATTGATCCTAATCTCATGGCTTTATTTTTAACTTTGCAGCAACTGTTACAGGATCGGAAGCAGTTCTACTAT